TGAGGAACAGCAACCTGGCCCCTGGCTCAAAAAGGTTGCCCACCCCTGTTCTAAACACTACATAATACAGGCACACAATCCACAGAACCAGTCCCCAGCTCCTCTAGTTAATGAATTTCAGGTAGCAAAACAAGACTCACTCCCAAAGAGTTTGGAGCCCCAGTGCCTGCTGGAGGAGAATAGGGGAGATAAAGCAGAGGCCCTAGGCTAGTTCAGTTCCCCAGCTGGGAAACCCATAACTTTATTCTAGCAGCCCAATCACATGCATGTTCATTTAGAAACACTAGCTTATTTTTTTTTTTTTTGTCCTTAAAATATTTGCACCTGCCTTTCTGTTTCACTTATGGGAAACACAAGGCAGCTAACATCACATTTATTTATTTTAAAAAAGAAACCTTAGACATTCTACTCCTTAGACATTTTTTTTCCAGCTAACTCCTTATCAAAGATTTCTGTCTGGTTTTGCAAATGAAAATACTGTTTCAGAAATCCAGGAGAGAGCAAGTGCTTGGTGCTTATGTTTGACAGAAAGACCTGAAGAAATGGGAGTGTGGGATGTGAAGGGAATGTCACATCCAGACCTAAATGATGTCACCAAAGGACACATCTCTCCGTGACAATCTATGTGTCACTATGTCCTCTTCTCTGTAATCAAATCATAAGAATGCATGAGCCATTCATTTGCAGCAGTCATTTCAAGGGCCTTACTTTAAAGCACTTAGTTTTTGCAGATCCAGGCAAGCAAACTTACTATGATGTTACCTGATACCAAACCTAAATGAGATGAAATTTACTTTACTATTGTTTGGGGATCATGTTCTTTCTGAATCTTTTCACCTAGATACCACCATCAAAGACAGTTTAAAGAAAAGGGCACCTTATTTTGCTTCACTTCTTTTGCCAGACCAAAGGGAAGGTTTTATCGGATGAGAATGTCACTTTGTGGTTAACCTTTTTGGGTTTTTAAAAAGTTCTCTATTCAAAAAAAGATAAAAGAGATTGAAATGAATTGAGGGTATAAGGCAGCAGTGCCTGACAGACCTGTGCTCAGATCAGTTCAATTACACAAATAGGCTTAAAGGACCAGTCCTGCCATCTGATGGGATGCTAACAGAGATGATCTTATGTGCTCCAAGCTAGGCATGGAAAGAATGTCCATTATTTCTTTCACCTTGGGAATGGGAACCCCATTCTTTGACCTTGGAATGAATAATAATGTCCATTATTATTCATTCCAAGGTCAAAGAATGGGGTTCCCAATAGTTGGGAAACCTCATTGAGAAGGACAAGAACCTTGTACAATTTTCTGCCAGTATTTCAGTCTCCCAAAGGGTTGCAGAAAAATTATTTGGTGTAGAAAAAGATATGCAGCAGAATCTTGTATCACTATTACTTACTACATAGCCCCTTAACTACAGTGCTACATAGTGGATTAAGGCAAGACTCACAAACTCCACTTAACAGCATTTCCCTGTTGATCAAGAAGCAGCTGTCTGATGTTCCCACTCCCTCCAATGAGCAATCTCCATCATGACAGTCCATAAAAGGACCCCTTTTAAAAATCCATCTCTCATTGGAGGGGATGCGGAAATATTAAGCAACCATTTCTTGATTGGCAGGGGAACAAATGTCCATCAATCCCAACAACTGCTTACTGATGAGTGGGCTGCCCAGGGAACTTTCAGAATCGCTATGTAGCTCCTAAACAAGGACTATGTAGGGACTCTGAATACATAGCATTTACAAATGTGTAACTGTAAATTATGTATTAGTAACTGCCCAATAGTTCATGCCAGGGGGGGTTGCACAAATATT